TCAAGGCGACGCAATGAACTGGCCGACTGGGCTTTCAGGTCAAATTAAAAATCTTTTAAAAATTATCCCCCACACGGTAATGTAAACGCATTAATCAGCTGCTTACGCGTGTTATAAGACTGTTTTGTTTGTGCTTACGCTTGTTATAAGACTGCTTTGTTTGTGACTGTTTTTTTTGTCCCGGTTTGCGTCGATTTGCACGTTACGTCTGAAAACAGCTATTACAAAAAAAAACATGGCCAGTATAACGCTTCTGTCAAGCGCTATGATGTCAGTTTTTTGTCCTAAAAAATTAAACAAATTAGTTGGATAAAAATAATGCTGGAAAGGGCAATAAGTTTTGTTTTGTCTCAGATAAAAATTTTCACTTCAGAAGTTCAAAGGAAGTTTGCTAATTATTTGAGTTTTCTGTACTAGCGTTATGATATTACTGATAGATATGCATCTTTTGATGGGTTCTTAGTGTTTCAACTTTAAAATTTTAGTCTTTCGCCTAATTTGGAGCAAGTAAAACAAGTTAGAGCCAACTAGTTTTTTGGCGCCATTTGGAAATCAAAAACTCAAAAAATCAAAAAAGTTTCTGCAACGCAAAAAAAAACAGGTTTGAAAAAGTTTGTGAGTACTTTTAACTATTTTTGTTTGTTTTTCTAGTCAATTTTTTCTCACAAAACTGTTGTCATATTTTGCTATTTCACTATGACTATCGACTATTCTTAAGTTCTAGTTTTGTTCAAATCCATTTATCACACCTCGCAGAGCAAAACGACACTAATTCGAAAACTTTTTGATGTATGATTGTGTTTTTAAGACAGTGGCACCGTAACTGGCTATCCTTGTTAGTTTTCAATACGATTCGTTTCCGTAATTTGGCGTGTTATCTAGCTGAGTATGATGTTTGCAATAAATGCGCATCAGCGCGAAGACTTCATGCAACATTTTGTTTGTAGTTGGCCAGAAAATCTCTGCGCTGGTGCGCATTTACAACATTGATCAACCATAAAATCAGCTTTATAACAATGCTGCTCTTCGGTGTTATAACGATAAACTCTTTACCGCCGCTTTTTTGAGCGCTATAATTTTTTAAAGCATCAAAACCGCTCAATAGATTGATTTGAGGTTAAAAGTTTGAGCAAAATTGTTTGAAACCTTTCAAGTTGACATAATGATGACAATCAAGCATTAGTTTGCGTTCATTATCAAACGTTTTTTGGGTTTATTTTAAATGTTTTTTGAGACTTATTGCTCATTTTTTGTTTTAGTTCAAGGTTCAGGCTTTGTTCGCGACTAACAGTCACGCTTTGTTTGTGACTGTTTTTTTTTGTCCCGGTTTCGTCGATTTGCACGATACGTCTGAAAAGAAAAATCATGACATCTGCTTGGACCAGCAACTTCTAAGTGACCTTCTTAGAAAACTTGGGGGAAATGTGAAAGTTTAACGTAAATGGTTCAATTCCTTTATTTGTGACCGCATTTTAATTTTTCATTACGAAGCCAAACTTAAATATAACTTTGTCGAAACGATCAAAAAAAAGAAAGATTGAAAGAAGGACAAAGAGAGCGTTCTTGTTGCAGAATCAGCTTACTATTCACAAAACACAATTGTGTTTTGTCAATTGAAAGCGGATTTTGCATCAAGGATACTCTCATAGCTCTTTTTTCATTCTTTCTTTTTCTTTGATCGTTTGAAAGTTTTTTCATTTTAGAGAATTAGCTCTGGATTCTAGAGACCTACACACGTCAAATATTGCGCGTATCTAGTGCACAGTTTGGCCTCGTAATATTATGATCTCATTAAACTCGATATTGATTTTGTGCAAAAAAGAATGAAAATAGCTATAGGAAATAGAACAAGTTTGTATTTTTTGAAAGTTTTCTTCCGTTTCCTTGGTATTAGATTGCGTTACAGTTGGTTTAAGAAACAAAATAACGTTTAGGGTTCGAATTGTGACTTGTATTTGCTAACTTTTTCTTTTGATTAGCTGTGGAGCTGAAACATTCAGAGGATGTTTTTGCTCAATTTTTGACTTCTGTCAAAACGAACTGCTTTTTAGGATAATCTGGAAGACTTGCTCTTGAACCAGTTGAAGGAAGACATTTTGGAAGACAGTCAAGATTTTGGAAGTGTAACAAAAGCACAAGTTTGTGCCATTAAAGCGTTCGCGGGACAGCCTAAACTTTTCGCCTGGATTAAGAAAAATATGAAGTGTAAGTTCAACTTAAGCTGCTTCAGTTGGTTATGAGCACAATTAAACTCTCGTAGGGCGACAATTTATAACAAACGACCATTCGTAACAAGTCATGGGCAAACAGAATGCTCTTGCTCTGCTTCTCTGCACAGCGCTTACATCAGGGACGAGAGGAATACTGCGCGTAAATCAGTGTCTCTCGCTTAATCCACTGTTACAAATTGTCGCTTGCTACGAATTGTCGCCTGTTATGAATTGTCGCCTCACATTGAACTTAATATAGTTGATGAGTTATGATATAGTTGTAATACCTAGAAAACTATTTAAGTAGTATTAAGTAGTGGGGTTGCGTCCACCACTAAAAGATCGGGTTGCGACCACCTCCGAGATCATCGGATTTGGCTAATTACCTGGATGAAGATGCTTCCTTTAAGATACGACCAGTTCGACCAAAGTTAGGTAAATTTTGACCATCTTAACCTGGTTTCCGATAGTTTCGACCGTCCAGACCCTGTTGAGGCATATTTCTCAGCTCGAATTTGCACAAATCACGCCGGATAGGTTTCTACCATCTCGATGATCGCTCATCCTAACACTCGATTTTGTTCAACCATAGCTAGATATGTTTTAATTGGCTTGAACAAACTTAAATATGTTTACTTTTTCACTCAGTATGTGCTATTCAAAAACGAAAACTGAAATGCTTCTTAAGTAAATATCTCAAGATATTTGTTTCATCACAAAATTCTGAACTTATTGCATTTCAAATTACTTCAGAGATAAACTACTGTTTGAATTGTCTTCTTGCATCTTATCCTTATTCTCTTGTTAATTTCTTCGAAAATACAGAAAAATTTAATGATAAAATTAATATTAATCAGTTTTTGTATTTTTGACTGTTCTCGACTCATGTTCGAGTTTGTGTTCGATCTAAGCCTTGGCCTCTACTTTTAGTTTTTGACTGAGCTTTGTCATTGTGCTCTACGCATTTGATATTTATGATCTCTATGTGATTCTAATGTACAAGTTTTTTCCTCAAGGATCTTTTTAATCGGCTAAAAGAAACTCGTTCGAAGCACTAAAAAGGTTTTTGCATGTGATGCAATGGATGTACCTTTCATCATTTTTTAATTTTGCAATCACCAGAAATCAATCAATGAACAAATATTTTTGTCAACAAGCGAGTCAGCCGTCTCTTTTTCCTAGCCTTCATTGACTCTTTTTTAGTTGTCTGTTGAGTAGTATATGTCGGGTAGAATCAGCTTAGGGGAGAGGTTTCTTTCCCCGTTGTATTATTGTTATAGGCTATAGAGTATCTTGTCAGCACCTATATATTAACATAGGGAATAGATTTCCCATGTATTGAGGGTAGAGATTTCAGAGTTTCACATGGTAAGATGGTTAGTTTCGAGAATAAAAATGTTTGGCGCCCATCTTTGCCAATATAGCGTTGCTTAAGATCCCAAACGGGAATGTTTACAGTCCTATTTATTTAAACACAGATTAAATTTCTCAACGTCTAATAAAAATTTTCGAATGGTAAGTTTCGGATGGCATTTTATAGTGCAAAAACATCAATTTTGGAAGAAAAACAATCTTATTTTTTTTGGAAAATTTTTCAAGGAATCACAAGGCTAATTGTGAAAATGATCTTCTTCTAATTGTTGAAAACGTTATTGAACGTGAAAAGCGTCAAAATGTAAATTGTTGATTAACTGTTATCATGCTATGACAAGGATACAAACTCTGATTGAAACTATGAGTTTGTTCTCCATTTTCCCTCAACAAAAAGAGAAAGACGATAAGTTTCGATTTACCTTAGGCTATGATACGTGTTATATAGTGTTCTGAAGACCAGTAAAATACTCAGATCAGTTGAATCTATGCTGAAACTTCCGAATTCTCGGAAGAATCTTAAAAAATTCATAGTTTTTGAAGAAGTGAAGTGAAGAGTTTCATATTAGACTCAGCATCTATCCAACGTTTTCAATTTACAAGTTTTGAACAAAAACTTATTTATTTCTCAAACCAACTGAGAACAGTTTCGTCAAAACCATAATTCAAATGATAAATCTTTGTAATATTTTTTTAAATTTCTTGAGCAAAATTCATGATTCAACTCTTCCCCGAATTTTTGTCAATGACGAACCCAAGTTTAGACAACACTACAGTTTCTGAGGAATGTTTCACATTAGGCTTAAAAAAAATGAAGTGCTTGATGTGAACTAACAAAAAAATGATGAAAGGTTTCGAAAAGTATATTAGAAAGTGGATGAAATGAAACCAAAACTTAATCGTAACTGATTATGCGCGTAATTCTCCACAAATTGTAAAAATATCGAATCTCAAACAATTGAATTAAAGAGCATTTTCTCGGCAAAATAACTCTGGCAATAGATAAATTTCGGCTTTTTTTGTCGATCATAACATCATATAACTTCATTAAACTGCCCCAATAACGGTACAAATTGGCGCAAACTAGCCACAAGAACCGGTAATGATGTCCTTGAGACAAATTGCTCTTTTTGGCGGTCAGTTTTCATCAAGGCTTAAACCGAATTAGATCCAAAAAATAAATAAAGTAGGATAAAACTACCTTTTTTATTATATCAAAACATGGGGAGGTGGGGGGTTCGAAGCTACGTCAACTGTCATGTCTGTATAGTCGGCGTTACTGTAGCTTAGGCTTATCGCTCAACTGTTCTTATTTTATATGCATTTATACTCTTGTTTTATATGCATTCATACTCTGCATTTGCGTTTCAGCATCCCCCCTGAAGAAGGAGGAACCAGAGCGAGCTCAACGATCGGCCAAGTTACTTCACGTGTTGCGGTCTCAACAAGGGCGGATCCGGAGCAACCGTACTGTCCGTAGTTTAGCTTAACGATTCGGGTGAGAGGGTAGTACCCACTCGGATTATCGGGCTCAACCACCCACACGAAATCGCCTGTCTTAAGAGTGGAGTCAGAATGAGTGCGCCACTTGATACGCTTATTCAGTGAGGGAACATATTCGCAAAGCAAACGAGACCAAATAGCGTTAGTATACGACTGCGCTCGTACGTAGCTTTTCTTGTGTTCGAAGAGCTCCCAAGGCAAAAGCGAGGGAAAGCTTGTGGCATGTTGTCCAAGGAAAAACTGGTTTGGGGTTAACGCTTCTAGTTCACGTGAATCAGTACTAACGGGAGTGATTGGCCTCGAATTCAAAGCCGGCTCAACTAAGCACAGTGGTGTTCCTAACCATTCTTCAGTGACTTCCCTACTGCCTAGATTATCGTACAGCACGCGCTTCACCTTTCGGACGAGACGCCCCCAGGAGTCGCGGGTTAAACTTCTAAGTAACACCTTTGTGTGCATAAATGGTTGGAGCCATGCCATTTCAGCTCTTGATTCAGGCAAGAAGTTCCTTTTCCGCACCGACGGAGTTCGTGCCGTTATCCGACCAGATCGTGCTTGGTGTACCACGACGCGCAAGGAACCGTTCAATGCCCATGACACAAGAACTAGTCTCCACAGATGGTACAATCTCAAGATGTGCAAACCTAGTAGTGAGACCAGTGAAAAGAACAAAAATTTCTCATCTTTTTCCCGTAGGATTAAAGGGTGCTTGCTTATATCCGAGACATTCGACAGGTAAACCGGACATAATTGGCTGGATGGTACTTGCGTTTACGGCATGTTACACATTGATTTTCGATAGACCGAAGTAGTCGACGCAACCCAAGTATTGCACATTTCGTTTTTTAAACGGAGCGCATGTAATCTAAACCTTGATGACAATGCTTAAGCTGGACTAGGGTATGTCGGGCGTTGAGTAATAATGGGTGCTTAGTATCAAACTTGGTATTCACACGATAGCGCACGATCCGTCCGTTGGAACGAATGATACCAGCGGGACCGATTAAAAGCGAGTATGTGGCAAATTTACTAGTATTCGTTATAGGTTTGCCAGCGGTGAGTGTTTTTAACTCAACGGGGAAAAATTCCATCTGAGCAAGATGAATCAGTTTGCTCTCTGCAATATCAAAATCAGTGGGGTCGGTGATTCGCAAGGCAGCATCCTTACGTTAAGGCAGCACAAGCGCTTACGTTAAGGCAGCATCCTCAACATAAAAGCGATTACTCTTTTATTTCTCGCAAAGGAACTGAACTTTTCCCAATTGAACCTGTGTTCGGGATGTTTGATGGATGTGACATCTGTGACGAAGGAAGATTATGTCTCCCAGCAAAAATCAACATCACAAAAGGACCTTTAAAACAATTTTTATGGTTCACACATTCATCGGTAAATAAAAAATTAATCAGTAGTCCTGAGAATGCTTGAGAACCCAGCTGCTATCCCTGAGGGATACCGAAGAAATCCCCCGTGTACCGGTATCAGCTAGATTATCGCCACTTAGAACATGTGCCACTGATCAATAGTGGTCGATTCGAGGATTTCGCTGATACGGCTAGCGACGAATACAGGTAATTTTTCAGTGGAGTTTAGCCACTGCAAAGCTGTAGTACTATCTGGCCACAAGTAGACATGATTAATGCTGACAGTAAGGGCTGTCATTATATCATTTTCCAATCGCGTGGCGAGCAGATCAGCTTGAAGCTCTAACTTCGGTATAGATAGCGCTTTCATGAGCGCAACGCGAGCTTTACCAATTTGTGCGAAGTCGAGAGTCGCCCACGCAAAAACCCATCTGCACAGAAAACGTCCTGCGAGCTACCTACCACCGAAAATGTAGAGCTCAATTTGATTCACAAGCTCTGTGAAGTATCAACGGGGAATAGTCAATTGCCCTAAGAGAGGGAGACCGGAGTGCCAATCGAGAGATATATCTCTTATGTCTTCCGGCAATTCGTCGTCCCAAATTTGGCCACTGATTTTTCAAATATCCTTAAGCAAAAGACGGGCACTAACTCTGTATGAAGCTACTAACCCAACAGGGTCAAACAAATAAAAGACGAAACTCGAGGCAGTTCGTTGAGTTATTGCCTTGTCGAGAGGACGATCCATGCCTCTGCTAA